ACTGAAGAGCAACTTGCTACACTCTTTCTTACCTGTGGGCAGGTGAAAATGTTTCCCGTTCGGTCATTTCTCTGCATTCAACCATAATTTATAGCACTTTATAATATGTTCGTGAAATGTTTTGTTGCCATAATCGGACTAACCTTAATGTGATGAAGGTGGTTGACTGTCGCATATGTGGAGATCCCAATTCTGTACTCCGTTTTGCATTTATTGAGTTTACTGATGAAGGTAAGTTGAACCACAATCTTTTGTTTGACAATTTTTATTTTGGGTTAAAGTTGTTGTTGTCTAACACTGACATTGTCCCATGTATGGTTTGCAGAAGGTGCAAGGAGTTCTCTGAGTCTTGCAGGAACTATGCTAGGATACTACCCTGTGAAAGTGCTTCCCTCCAAAACTGCAATTGCACCAGTTAATCCAACTTTTCTTCCAAGGGTGAGAAATTGTGTATACTTTCCGTACTTCCTTTCAGAAATCGCTGTTGAGGGTGATGAATGGATACCTCTCTGTTGCTAATTCTGAAATCTTTACCTTTGGCACTGATATGTAGTCTGAAGATGAAAGGGAGATGTGTGCAAGAACTATATACTGTACAAACATTGATAAAAAGGTAATTTTGGGTTTGTAATTCCTGTTTTACTTGGTTGAAGAGTATCTATGGAGATAATGCTTTATGACTTGTTCAATTGTATGACATAGGTTACTCAGGCAGATGTCAAGCTCTTTTTTGAGTACTTCTGTGGAGAGGTTTGTAGCTTTTCACCTGACTTGTCTGAAAGTTCCTGTCCTACTTTAGGTCCTTACTCTATGCGGTTTTCTTCTTTAATCCAGGTTAAGCGCTTGAGGTTGCTTGGTGACTATCATCATTCTACTCGCATAGGTTTTGTCGAGTTTGTTATGGTAACTTCCATAAGCTTTTCTTGGTTTTGTTGTCTGATATATCATACTGCTCTGGACTTTGGCTTCTTTCTACTCTTAAGAACTACTAGAAACTCCATTCAGAGTGTGTGTTATTTTACCATCCATGCTATTAGTTTAACATCATTATGATGTTATTACTTGTTTGGGTCTTCTACATTTTCAAAGTATAAAGTGATTTGTTTTGTCCCTTTTTTGTATTTTATGTAGGTGAAGCAAGTTCTTGGTAATAGTTTGCCACTCATGTGAATTTGAGATATTGTTGACATACACTGAATTTCGGTTCAAAGTTTTTCTCCCTTGTTTACTGGTGTGCCTGTCTAAGCTTATGTTGATGTCTTTGTGACCAGAAACTAATCCAAATCTTTTTAACTAGATAACACGAGCCATGTGATCATTACTTTTTGTCGGGTAATAAACCTTACTTGTGAGAAAGGTCCGTCATTTGTAGATCAGTTCTAGTTGTCGATATTATGTGCTTGTGTTTATTACTCAGTATAGCTAATGTTTGTGCTTGTTATTGGATGCTTCATTGTTAGAGTAGTAGAGTGGACGACAACTATAAGATATGGTACCCACTTGTTGTTCAATACTCCCTCCGTCCCATTTTATGTGAGGTACTTTGACTCGGCACGAAGTTTAAGAAAGAAAGTAAGACTTTTAAAACTTGTGGTCTAAAATGAATGATATAAATTTGTGTGGCTATAAATCATTTCATTAAGAGTAAAATGGACATTTTAAAGTTAAATTGTTACTTAATATAGAAATGTGTCATTCTTTTTGGGACTGACTAAAAAGGAAAGTGAGTCGATAACATCATTTTCTATTCTCTCTTGTGCTATTTTCTGGTAACTGCTGGGCAGAACAAAATACAAAGCGCTACAGTTGCTTCGTTTAATTGTTTTAGAAGGCAAACTTGGACAGACTCTAGTTATCTGAACTAAGATTTTTGGATTTTAGATACTACAATAACCATGATTGGATAATTAACCCCCCCCACCCCTCAAACTTGTTGGATGATACCTAGGATTGGGGTCTTGGCCGTTGTATGGGCCTTATCCTATACTTAGCATTATTTGAGAATTACACCCATCCCTCCTCCCCTCATGCACAAAACATATTACTCCCTCCGTCCCATTTTATGTGAGGTACTTTGACTCGGCACGAAGTTTAAGAAAGAAAGTAAGACTTTTAAAACTTGTGGTCTAAAATGAATGATATAAATTTGTGTGGCTATAAATCATTTCATTAAGAGTAAAATGGACATTTTAAAGTTAAATTGTTACTTAATATAGAAATGTGTCATTCTTTTTGGGACGGACTAAAAAGGAAAGTAAGTCATATAAATTGGGATATAGGGAGTATTAATGTTCGAGGTATTTAGTTGTGTAGATTGAGTTATTGCTGGAAGGAGAGGGTTCCTCATGTCAGTCGCACAAAAACCAGTCCCAATATAAAAATCCGCATAAATACTAGTTACAAAGTATAGCACCCATGGATGGATGTGGCCTGGTGGTCAAGGAAGTCGGCTTAGAACTATGAGGTCTCAAAGGTTCATATCCCAGCAGTGACAAAAGAAACTAGGTGATTTCTTCCCATCTGTGTTTTTAGTCTTTGCTGGGACAAAGAACACTCGCAGACAAGAAGACCCCATATTCACCCTAGATTAATTCTGCACAACTAATCTGTGAGCAAAGCACTCTTATTTCCTTAACAAGGATCAGTATGGGGTCTTTTTGTCTTTCTATGTTTTTGTTAGACGGGAAACATATAAAAGGTTTCAGAATAACCAAATTTGGATAAACTGGATACTTGTTCTAAAAATTGAAACTGGACTACTTATAGAAGAAATTCAACGATACTAAGCAATATTAATCACTTATATAATGTTTCCTTGACAACAGGAAAAATAAGTGGCCTGTATTGTTGTTTTGATTAGTTCAATAGGCTTGTGTTATATTTGGTAGCTAATGAGTACATGCCAGTGGATATCTTATTAAGAATTCACAGTAATGCGGGGTAAATAAAATTGCAATGTCGGTGTTCTTGTTGCTGTCCATCTTGAGAAGTTTTGCATCTCTCAATGACGAGCTTCTGAGCTGTTGCTTTGCTTGGGGATCATGGATATAATGCACATTTAAAACTGTTGCTTTTATGGGAATCATTGCAACCTTTACTATGTGGATTCTGTATGTATTGATCACTTTAATGAAGTTGAAAGGGAAGTGCTGTATACTTGGTACTCCTCTGTGAGATACTATTGTATTAAGTAGATCAGCTTTACTAATCCAAGCAATCTTCACACTGGAGAGAAGTATTACTCCCTCTGTCTGAAATTATGAGGCACCATTTGGATTTCGAGAGTCAGACTTCCAAATTTTGACCCTGAATTCGGACATGAAATCTTTAAAATAATCTTTAAACGAAATAGATAATTCAAAATATTTGCAATGCATATGAAAATATTCCTGATCAAAGAAAAACTCAATTGACTTTCGAAATCCGAAAGGTGCCATATAAATTGGAACTGGGATGGAGTATTATTTTAGAACCTGAGAAGTCGTGAAGTCTGCTTTCCATAACAAAGATCTTCAATAGACATATCTGATGATTTTTCTGTTCCTCAGTTGTTTTCATCTAGCATGCTGTTTCTTCATCCGCGGCATTCGTTGAGAGTGGATATAGGGAACTATAAAAGAGGTTCTATTAGTTTCTTTGGTGGAGGTTCTCGATTTGAACTTCTTTACCACACTCTCTAGGTTGCGGGTGTAAAAGTCAAATACGCCCCCCCTCTCATTCCAGTGATGCGACACACTTTCCTTTTTAGTTAGTTTCAAAATGATGACACTCCTAAATTTCGAAATTATTAAGTTCACACTTTCTATTTTACACTTAATGAGAAGCTTTGATTACTACAAATGTTACGGCATGTATAAATCCCCAAGTATCAAAGTTTTACAGCCACACAAAGGCTATAACATATTTAAGGCCACAAGTTTCAAAAGTTCATTTGTTTCTTAAATCGTGTCGATTCAACTATGGCACATAAGTTTGAACAGAGGGAGTAGGAGATTTCTCTAGTGTCACACTTCCTATCTTTGGATAGGAGAATCCCACCGCCTTCTTCTTGTGATTAGCTTAGGTGCAATTTGTTTCTAGGTTACTTCTTGATGTGACAATGACAAACTTTGTTGGTGTTAAAGACCTCATTCTTGCTTATTCTTTGTTGTCTTTGGAAGATCTATTTCTAGGCCCTTGCTTACATCGAGGGAACATACATGATGTGAATTTATCTCACTCTGCTTCTTACTCAAGATTAGTTTGCATTGGTCTTGCATGTTATGATGTCAATAATTGATACCTAGAATCGCTTATTATGTTTGTTCCCTTTTCCTTAAAGTGAAGCATTTCACGGCTATGCTCTTTAGTATAGTTTCATGATGAATTTTCCGATTGTTGCAGGCCGAGAGTGCCATTGCTGCACTGAACTGCAGTGGTGCAATCCTGGGATCACTCCCTATAAGGTTGCTCTCTGATTCCAGTAGACTTCCTGCTGATACTTGAACTCTAATTTACTGACATTTCCATTAATCTTGAAACTTCTTCCATTCTGCAGAGTAAGCCCATCAAAGACTCCTGTCCGACCACGTACTCCCCGCTCGGTGGTGCAGTAATATATCACTTTGCATTCACCATCTGATCTTATATTTAAATATATACGTAGATACAGATACCATCGAGTACCTCATGGCGTTTGTCTTTTGGTTTATTAGCGTTACTCAGCTGGGCATCTCTCACCTTCTGGATACTCGTTGTTAAGCTTGTACTGTTGGCTGGTTTGTGAGTGCTTATGTTGATGTAATTTAAGTTTGGTATGCTAGCTATTATGTCTCTATAGGCAATGAATGCCTCGAGTACTAATACTGCTAACGGTGATTTCTGAGCAAGTTTCTTTGTTCTATATAGCAGGATGATTATTCAGCGTATTAATTTCTTACTTGCCCAAATGTGTTGTCATTATTTTTATGTCTTGATGGTTGTAAATTGTAATTTGCCAGAAAACAAGTCTCACAGCAGCCTTGTTAAAGACGCACTACTTGTTTTAATATTTATATTCCAACATACATTTTACACAAGGTTACAAAAGAACCTAAAACAAGAAAAGCTTGGGAGTTGTTAATTTTAGTTGATTTGGACATCAACCACCTTCTCAACTTTAGTTTTAGGAATCGAGATGAAAAGAACTCCATTCTTCAATTCCGCTTTGATTTTATCCTTCTCAACATTATCCGGGAGACTTAAACGAGTGTCATAAGAGCTATAATTCCTACCCCATGAGTGTTCATCTTTTCCGCCTTCTTCCTTTTTGTGTTCGCCTTTAATAACAAGCACGTCATTTTCTACCGATACTTTTACATCTTCCTTGGACAGCCCCGGCATGTCGAAACGCATCTTGATTTCGTTTTCATCATCATGAATGTCCCAAGGAGTGCGTATTTCCCCTGCTCCTGATGCTCTGTTTCTTCCTGGAAATGTCATTGTATCCTCGAATAATCTGTCCATAGTGTCTATCATCTGCCTCATTGTTCTCATCGGCGACATTGGATCTAACACTCCTGTTTGTCACATGAAACAATTGTCATTACTAAACGAATTGAACAAATTAATTAAATGCTGCTACTACCAGTATAGTAGCCTTGGATGGCCTATTTATTTAGTTTGAAATTTGAATTGTGTCATATAAATTGAGATAAATGAAGAAAGCAGCAGAAATGAAATGGAAGGAGCAATGAGACTCACCAAAAGGGGAAACATCAAAAGCCATCCTTGTAGGACGGCGTTCGACAGCAGTGCCTTGGTTGTTTCCTCCTTGAGCGCTGCTGTGGTGTACATCGACTGATGTATCTTTGTTATCTCCGGTGGCCTGAGCTACCAGCCTAGTCGTCCGCCTTCGCATGGAAGGAATGAAAACAGAGCAAGGTGCAGCTACATTTTTGTTAATCCTAGAGGTTCCACCAACACTGACATTGGACGCTAATGGAGAAGATGCAAGAATTGTGCAAGCCATTATTACTCCTATTTATTAGAAAAATAAAACAAACTAGAAAGAAAAGCTCGATCACAGGAAGTGGATATCTTCTTCTTTGTGAATGATTTTCGTTGCTTCAGTAGTGCAATAGAAGGAGGTATTTATAGAGAGAAGTGAGAAGAGTGTGGAGGAATCGTGAAAGTTTTAGATAAAACTCTCAAATGGTGATTGCTACGGTTTTCTCGATCAATCTCCTCAGCTTTCTTCTACCTTCTCGAAACATCGCATATTTCCCTAATTTTAGAAAAATAGGGTCTCTATTTCAGCATTTTTATGTTTTCACCCCATTCTTTTCTTAGGAGGGATAAAAAGAAAATTAATACTCCCTGCGTCCCTTTTTAGTTATAGTAGCTTTCATTTTTGAAAGTCGAACAATATGAATTTTGACTAATATTTTAAAAAATATTTTTTCATCATATTGATATGAAAAATGTTGTAATTAAGTAGTATTTTTGTATAATTTTTGAATATCTAAAATTTTATTTTAAAATATCGAATTAATGTAATCTGATTTTAGTTTTAAAAATGAATTAAATTGGCTCTCAAACAACGTAACATGACAACTAAAAAGGAAAGGAGGGAGCACTACCTCGTTTCCAAATTTTGTTTAGGTGTTTTATGAATTAGAACTTAAATGAAAGCAAGATTTTTAAAATGGTATAGTCTTTGTGAATTATTCATTTCTACGTTGCGTTAAATGTCAACTTCAAAACTATGTTTCCCCTTTTTTTTTTGAAAAACTATGTTTCTCTTATCGGATTCTACCAAATACTATTTTCCATTTTAAAAAAATAAATAGTGTGTTTAGAGCGTACACACATTTCTTTAAAAAAACTATTAATTTTTTAGAAAGTAAAATATGTTTTTACTAATTTATTCTTAATAAATATTTTTTTAAAATGTAGCTCTTTAATAACTTTTGTTTATGTAAAACCTTTTTATTTAAATAAGGAAAAAATCGAAAGAATATTAATAATATCTTTTTGATTACATGAAATAACACTAATTTTGAAATTAAGAAATAATAATAAAAAATCACGTATTTTGAAATAGAAGAAGTATGTTCTTACTTCTTACCTTACACGAATTTGACGATAATTATATGATTAGTAAGTACTTGACATTTTCCTAAGAAATAAAAATGTTGCAAATTTATCTAATTTTTAAAAGGTGAATTAGTTGATGTCCCATTTTGTTCCGAAAACAAGTTCAATTGAAGTGTTGAACCTTCAAGATAGACAAAAAAAAAAAATATGTGGCCATGGAAGGGGTAATAAACACACTAATGCATTTCTTCATCCCAATAAATGGAAGGTATCACTTCAAATGATGAATCAAAGGGAACTAATCAATCATTTATCTCCATCACATCAATTTTAAAGCTTAAATATGATATGTAGGATATTTTTTAAAATGTATGAGGTGCAACTAGTAAAACTTGTATGAGGATATTATTTTATTAGTTTATATTCTAACCTAGGAATTCGTGTTCTATTTTTCTTCTTTGCCTTTGATTTCTCTTTCATGCCCTACTCTTTCCTTTTCTTATTTTCGGTTTTTTTCCTAAATCTATTTTGAAATTAATTTAATTACTGGTGTATATGAAAAAATAATTTATTTTTTACTTATTTATTTTAACAAAAAACATTTTTAAAAATTATCATATTTATCATCAAATAACTACATAGGTATCAATAGTCAAATTTAAAATATAATTAATAAGACTAGTTTAGTAAAATGAATCTTTAACACAAATACAATTAAAGCTCTATATAAAACTTATAAAAAAAATAGTGAAACAATTGTTATTAAAATTGCACATTAAAAATTAAGGGGTTATGAGCATAGAAAACATGATTATTATTATTTGGCATTTGGCTCTAGAATTCAAACATATATTTTTTACTGTATTTGAAATAAACGAAATTATAGTTGAACATAGAGTCATGTTTTATTTTTGCAAAATAAAATATCCGAAATGATATTCATGTTTGAATGTACTTAAATACAATTTTAAAAATGAAAAGTGAGTTGAAAAATTAGATTATACTAACATGTTTTTCAAATTTGAAATATATATTCGAGTTGAAAAAGTTGTATTCAAAATTTCATTATCAAACATCAATTTTCAAATTAAGTGAAAAAATATTATTTTTTAAGAAATAATTCTTATGTTTGAATGAGTCCTAAAAGTAGAAGTTAAAAAAATATGAAATACTATTAAGATAAATTTTTTAAAGTATGATAAATGAAAAGTGAGAGAAAAAATAATAATTTTAATGGTCAATTTTCATGACATAAGTGACAATTCAAAGAATTAACTTGAACTTTTTTATACTCTTAACCTTTAATTATTTAAATAAAAATAAGATTTTTTTAAAAATAAATTATTTTCATATATACAAACTAAGGGAGTAATTATATTGGTTTAAAAAAGATTTAGAAAAAACATAAAAATGAGAAAAGAGAGGAAAGAGAAATAAAAGGCAAAGAAGAAAAATATAATGTGAGTCCCATAAGTCAGAATATAAATCAATAAACAATATCCTCATACAACTAGTACTAATTGTGCCTCATCCATAATAAATTTTTTTGATATGTAGTACTTATATACTCCCTCCGTTTTACAAAGAATGACCTCCTTTCCTTTTTAGTCAGTTTCAAAAAAATGACCTCTTTACTTTTTTGGTAACATTTTACTTTTTGCTTTCCACGTGGCATGTTTAAGACCACAAGATTAAGGACAATTTTGTACATTTGACATAACTTTAATTTAGGACCACAAGATTTAAAAGTCTTCTTTAATTTCTTAAACTTCGTGCCAAGTCAAACCAGACCAATCTTTTTTAAACGGAGGGAGTAATTAGTTAAAATTGAATGGAAGGTATCACTTCAAATGATGAATCAAAGGGAACTAATCAATCATTTATCTCCATCACATCAATTTTAAAGCTTAAATATGATATGTAGTACTTATATAATTATAAAAAATAATTTTGTTGAGAGTGGGATTTGAACCCACGCCCTTTCGGACCAGAACCTTAATCTGGCGCCTTAGACCAACTCGGCCATCTCAACATATAATATGCATCATATAGTGTTATAATTTATTCAAATAAAACACTCCCTCTTTTTTTCAAAGAAAGATTTCGTACTATGTTTTCGTAATTAATGTAAAATGTTACCGAATCTTGAACATGTTTGGTAATAGATTAGTTTACCTTGGAGAAATAAATCTTACAGAGTTATAAAATTAGTACTTATATTAACTATTTTGTAATTTTAGTTGGCTCAATTGGGTGACTATCTACATTTTCACCTTATTGGTGAAGAGGATACATTCCCATTTTGTAATCCCCTACCCCAATTTCAAAAAATAAAATAATGGTACTAATATACACTGCATTTTTTTATATCAAAGAACCACACATTATGTTTATAAATTATAGTCTCACATGACCAAAAAGGGAGCACAGGGTGTACGAACTAGCTTTTATTATCGTCTCCAAGTATACCCAATATTCACAAAGAAACTCTCTAGAACTGTTTGATTGCTTGCATGCTTAATAAGATATTCACTTTCTTTAATATTGTCTGCTACCATGTGTGAATTTATCGTCGTCTATAATCCTTGTATATAAGTTGCCGGTTCCAATATCTCAAGGAGTCGATGATTTCGTCAACTTTTTTTCCCCTAACGGAGCAACTGCAGGGTATAGTTGTCTGTCTATAAAGTCAAATGAGATATTTTTCAGCCAGAAGGCCACAGTCCTAAAGACTAGCCAGCTCAAAAGAGAACAAACAATCGTAGGGCAATTATCATATCTAATGTAATCTAACGTGAGGATAAAATATATGATATACGAGGACCTTACTCTTGCCTTTGTGGAAAGTAGGGCCATTATGCCTTCCTATCAAAAAGACAAAATAACTAGGCCCTGTTTTTCATACACTCAAATTCCATTTCATCAAAGTTGTGTTCTGAACTGTACTGATACGGTGATAAAGAGTACTTAAGAACCCCAAATGTGCGTAATTACATAGTTCATTTTCATGATAAACCCGAGATCAAATCATTCTAATTCATTTTTGATGTGTTCAGACGCACACACAACACTTCAAGAAACAAGAACACAAGCAAGGCAGAAAACTGTACACTTAGGACATACAAGTGTACATATTTCCTAAACAACTTGTACGATAGTAATAGCTTAAAAGTTCTTTGATCTTATGTTTGGGTACTGAGAATTGCCTGAAAATGAACCTTAGACAGTCACTTTGTAAACTTCTGGCTTCAGTTGATAGAAAGCAAGAAAAGTAAAACAACACACAAAACAAAAAAAAGGAGGAGCCATTCTGGCATTCTATCTTAACCACTGGAATTGAACAGTCTCAGGTGTAATATTACTTGGAGCTGCGAGAATTGGGCTGTTGCAAACACTGCCATCAGAGTGCGAAAACACAGTCTTTTGAAGAACCCCAGATGGTGATGAGACGGTCGTTGCTGCAGGGCTTATTGAATCGCCATTGCTTGTGTACGATGAGGTTGGGTTGTCACCAAGACTAAAAGATGAGCTAGGATGTAGAACTTCAGCTAATGGTCCTCCAGACGCAAAAGGGAAACTGTTCTCCCAAAACTTGTGCTGATTAGTATTCATGAATCTACTATCCAATCCCATATCCTCATCAAGGACATCACCAGCAGCCATAGCAATAGACAAAGTAAGCGATGATGGCGAGATATTCCCTAGCGATGGCCACAACAAAGCCTCCATATTCTCATTGTTACTATTGTTGTAGACATTATCATTGGACCATCCATTAATCGAGTCCTTGGAGACATCTTTTACAAATTCAGGATTTGTCATGAAATTGAACTCACCGGTGTGCTCAGTTCTTTCCATATCTCTACTTGCCAAAAAATTCAATGCCTCTTCCCTGTAGCCATGCGCTGAGTAACCTGCGTTTGAGTCCATCAAATGTTGCCATTGTTGTCCAGAATCAGCCTTTGCTACCAACTCACCTTCCATCATCCAGCCCGAAGTTCTTTAACCATACAAAACACAAAACAATATATCGTAAATTGGGACTTAAACTCAAACTAAGAGTAAAACAGCAGCTAAAAGAGAACCT